CAAAGCCAAACGGCTGTATTGGGAATCAGGCGTCGTTTTCTGGCGCGATCTACCCACGAATCTCTTCATTCTGCATTTTCATATGAAATGAAAGTCGTGGCAGCAACAAAATTTGCAACTTGGTCATGTTGTTAGGGCACTTTGTCCGAAGTCCTCCGGTATCGTAGTTATCATAATTCCCAACTAAGTAGTTTTGACAAGACAATCAAGTTGCGAAAACGAAGTCAGATTACTTCAATACATCAAAAGGAGCCTGTGACCAAAATAATGGCCACAATGTCTTGGTCTTCATATCTATAACCAAAAATAGTCATTCTAAACCCATATTTAAGCTGAGTTAAGAAAACTCACCCGCTTGCCCTTAAATGCTGCATATCTACCCTGAGCCAATGCATTTTGATGAGGTATGAAGAAATTTGGTTATTTCAAGTCATAAGTCAATCCAGACGCATGTGCATGTGTCTGTGTGTGTTTATGCGCCTTCATGTGAGCATACATGCACGAAGCCAGCAGTGATGGCCTAACATAATGAGAACAGGTGTCATCTCTCCTCGGTCATCAAGCATCAACAAGAATGCAACAAGAGGAATCCGGCGTCTTCTGGGGAAATCGACCTCTTAATCTCTTCAGCATGAGAACCATTACTTAAAATGTAGGTGAGTTCAATACTTATAAACACAAAGATTGCTCGAAACCCGACTTTTCCTCGCTTAACTAGGGATTATTATCATTGCTATTTTGCCGTGCTCTCGACGTCCGGACTGCTTCTTTCGAATGCCTGTTTGTCTCGTCTCATGGAGACCACGAACCGCAGTTCTATAGGCTGAAGCGCCTTGCCTTTGCGTCCACGACGAGCCATCTGCTCCACGCCCCGTCAGCCTCTGGCTCGTCTTCGGTGAGAGCAAGGTTGGGCAAAATCGCCGGATGCAAGGCTCCCATTCTTGGGCGCTTCCGCCTCCGAAGCCAGTCGGCTTGGCCAAGCAGGATTACAGCGTCCGGGTCGCCTGACCAACTGCATTTTCAGTTCAACTTCTCTTTCGTCCTTGCCTCGCCTCGTCTCGCCTCGCTTTGCCGCGCACACCCACTCACACGTGCTCACGCCGACCCTACACGCCACTGCATTTGCGCAGGTTACCCTTCACATCGTGCTAGTCCGTTTGTAGGCCGGCCTTACGTGCGCAAATTCCTATCGATCGGTGCAACTTCGTCTCATGAGCTGCCTGAGGCCAATCTGCGACGTTCGCCTCGGCTCCACTTTGCACGTCAGAAGGCGGCGTCAGATCGAAGTTCAGTCTGGGTTTCTGCACCAAATGGCACATGCTTCCGCATGCCGTCCGGACTCTTCAGCCGGTAGGATCGTCTGTCTGAATGGGCCTGAAAACGGGCGAGGTCTCTGCTCTGCATCTGTGGTAATCATGATTGCCGAATTTTCCCCCCACTCCGCCCATGGTATCCTTAGCCTGGACTTATTATCATGCTAATGGACTGGTTGCTGTTGTTAAGGCCATAAGGAAAGCTAAGTGCGTGTATGGACAGTCAACATGTTGCTGATTTGCTGATTTTTGCGGGTCCATATGAGGGTGCACGGATAGAGATACGGACACGCACTGAGAGAATGGCGCGGTCGACGGTAAGCAGGTGCAGATCACTGCATTGATGAATAGTCAGACAGAAATTTGACTGAAAAAAAACAATTAAACACAAAAATATAAATTAACAAACATAAACTAGAATGAATGAAGATGAAAATTGATCGATACTCCAATCGCATTGGGTCTATATGCATCTATGCATTGGTGGATAAATTTGATTTGGGATAGGTGCAATATATGAAAATCGAAACGTTTAAATGAAGATAAATGAAGGAAATAGATTAATTAAGCTCTAAATTTTCAATTCAAAGGATGGTGATGTCTACGACGGGATGAAAAGATAGTCGGGCCCGCTCGAACAAACATACATTTTCTATTCAGATATAAACGCACATACCAACATGTATATGTGCGTGCCCAAAATGGCTTCACGGGCTCCATAGACATGCTGGTGGGGGTGCAAGTGGCCTGTGTGGTAGATCCATGCACGGATGGATGAGTGTGTGAGCACAGGCGTAGACTCATATACAAGTTCAATAAGCGCTAGGTTAAATTTGTATGCAGGCCATATGTATGATAGCTGATGTATTTGTTAGGAGGCAGACAGGTGGTACATGATTGGTTTGATAAATTGTCATGTCATCGTGCGATATTATTAGAGAATCGGGCCTTAAAGTCGGCCATGTGGAGTAACGAATTGGGTGGTTTATGTGTGGATGACTATATTCTTTGTTCTAGTGGTGCACATCCAGATTGCTAGGCTTAGAAATTCAGAGACAATGCGAAAATTGTGTGTAAAAATGGATGATTGACCTTTAAGCTAAAAAATAACTCAAGCCAAATAGAGCTAAATAAGTCCCTTAGTAGGGTGTTATATTTAAAAGATAGATCAATAAAAAGATATGCAAAGTATGCATAAAGTGTTTATTCTTTAACATGTGAAGAGGCCTGTGATTGCTTACCTGCTAGATTGTTGTTCGGGCGGGCGAGTTTGCTCGGGAGATTATGATCACATGCGTAAGGAAGGTATGCATTGAACAAATATTTTAATACGCTTCTGTGCATAATTACTCAGTTGAATGAATAGATTGCTTCATTATGGCTTGTGGCTTGTAGATGGATAGCATGAAAAATGCATGCAAAAAATAGGGGTTGTTGTCTAATAAATATATACTCTTTCTGAGCAAGTATCAACAGACTGCTTAATCCAGCTTTATATATAAGTAGGCACATCCTTGGAGAGGTATTTAGCTTATAGACATCTTGTGATTGAGTCTCTTGATTAGACTATTCTACCGATTGCCTTGCCAAAGAATTTCATAAAAGTTAAGCATAGGTATTTATTTTACTTTATTATCATCACTCTCTCAACAAGGCTCAGTCCGGCTAGTCGTCACTTTTCTTCATTCTGTTGTTGGCTGCATGTATTTGCTAGCTTGGCGAAATATATTACCATCAAATCCATAGTTTATTCGAGGGTATGAAGGCCAAAATGGTGTTGTTTCTATCTTGGTCGTGGTGTACTTTCGTTATGTAGAAATGAATTTGCTACCATGTCGACGGTTCGACGCAGGAAATTATAATGATTATTAAGACAGAAAATTCGGTCGAGTTGCACAACGAGTTCAAGCCAATTCTGTCCAATTCCTATTTTTAATCATTTGGGAGATTCGCCCACCGTAGGTGCATCTAAATCATGCTATTATCAACTGCCTCAATATGGGAGTGACTCTCCATTTTTATTTAAGGTCTCATGCTGTTCGTCGATGCTAAGCTTCACTATCTATCGGCCGTTACTGAGTCTGTTTAGGCGACAAGACAAGTTTAGAAGTGATAATATGGACGGTAAAATAGCCAGCGTGACTTTATCAATGAAATTAGGCCGTTAGCGAGGACAAACAAGTCAGGACAAGAAGGTCTTCGTCAGAGTCTATTTGGGCTCAACACACTCATGCCCCCTTTATTTCGCCATTGGTGACAGTTTTGTTTCGTCCCATATTGTGCAGGCTACTTGACAACGTATTTGCCCTTTCACCGATGTCCCTTCGTTTCGAGTCCCGCCGGTAGGAGAATTCGAAATTGCAACCCATTCTTAGTTGGCGAGCTATTTCCGGATGCATAATGTAGCGAGTCGCTGTCAGTCCACCACAAAAACTAGACGAAACTGGTGCACTTCTGCAAAAGGATTTTTTCTACTTTTTACATTAGCACTAATATCCTAGGTACAGCAATTTAATAAGCCATCATAGGTCACCCGAAGCTGATGTGTATAAGGTATATATGGATCGCTTTAAAATGAGCAGAGGCAAATTTTGCTTCATCAATTAGGGCTGGAAATGGGTATCAAACGATAGAGAATTGAAAGTGAACATGTTACGACATGTTCACATTTAAGCCAATCAGCAAGAAATGCTTGTGCTATCTTGTGGGCATAAGCTCAGCACAGATTCATCAGGGCGGTGTAACAGGGTACCGAGGACTTATTCACGCAAGTCTGCACTCATTGCTTCAGGGCGACCCTCTTTCGGCCTTAGGTGGGTGCAATTTCCAAATCCCTTCAACTCGCCTCTTCAAACGAATTTAAAGGCAAGCTAAAATTGATATATTAAGAGATGCATCGAAATTCGACTTCTTTTCTTATCGACACGCTACTTATTTTGGTGTTGATTATTGTAGATGAATCTGGTTTTAATATTTTACCATTAGCGACACTGTACATAGCATTTTCTGGCATTTGGCAGGGTGAAGTTCAATGCAAAGCTGGGGCATTTCCTTCAATTCGTCTTGTGCAGGATTACTATCGGTCTGATGATTAAAAAAATTGGACCCGATCTCCTCTACCTCACTCGAAACATTTCTGTTGAGCTTATTTATGAAAGGCGCAAGAAATTTAACAGAATCCGCGTCTAAATAAGGAGAATAATTCCTTTGCATAGAGCTCATCTCGTTTCTTGTCTAATGGCCTTCGTTACAGCGAAGTATGAATGGCTGGGAAGTGTCACTTCTATATGAGATGTGTTCATCCTTTCTTGTTTATGACGACACGGCGACTGGTAGTCGAATTCTCCCACAACTATGTGAATAGGTATGACTTTTCCATTAAATTCAATATAGCTTTGCCTTCCCAAAAGGTACTTCCATTCATGTTGGACTGCAGTTTTGACCGCGCCTAGGCTTTACCAACACTTTTACCGGGACTCGAACCACAACAGTGCTGCGTAAAATCTCGCCACATCAACCACAATACTACGAAAGGCCCTGAGTCACAGGGCAGGTGCGAATTTCAAGGAAGACCAGACATTTTCCCATATCACATTCGGTCGTGGGATTGTGAATGAGGCAGAATTGTATTTTGGCATGACTCTCCATTTCGAAGGGAAATTTGGTTCGAAATCCAGTTTTTTTCATATCCTCAAAGTCGACTACATTACACATTCTTCGTTTATTAAACAGCTTTCGAGACTATATGAGATGTATTCATCTCTAGGAAACGAGAAAAACAGACATTCAAAGGAAACAGGGGACCAGATGAATACATTTCATATATATATATATAT